CGCCAGCACCACCATCTCCTCCATCTCCTCGCGAGCGGCAGCGCCCTCGCCGCTGCGCAGCCGGCCAAACGTGACGAGGTCCCGCGGCGGCTGGCTCCAGCGCGCGTCCTCCCGTCGCCGGCGCCGCATCCGGACGAGAAGCGCCACGAGCGCTGCCGCCGCCGCGACAGCGGCCGCCGCGGCGCCCGCCGCGCCCGCCGGCCCCGCTCCACTGGCAAGCCTCGTCGCCGGCCTCTCTGCCACGAGACCGAGTGAGCCTCCGAAGAGCCACTCCGAAGAGCCTCCGAAGAGGCCCGAGCGGCGGGGCGGCGGGGCGGCCGGCGGGGAGGGTGCCGCCCGGCTGCCGCCGCCGAGCCACCCGCCGCCGCCGAGCCACTTCGCGCTGTCAATCACGCCGTCGATGTAATCCCTCGGGCCGTTCGGCGGCGAGGGCGGCGAGGGCGGAAGCGCAGGAGGCGAGGGCGGCGGCGGCGACGGCGTCGGCGGCGGCCAGGGCGGCGGCGCGTTGGGAGGGGGGTGGGGCGGCGTGGGTGGGGCGGGCGGCGCGGTGCAGCAGTGGTCCCAGCATCCATTCCAGGCCACCTGCGCGGGGAGGGCTGAGCGTGATGACGTGCCGGTGTGAAATGTCCCGTCCGGCTCGCACCGCCATGTAGGAAGAGATGCACGCCGTCTGGCAGGAGCGGGAGGTTGCCTCCAGCGGGCCCGGGCACGGCCGCGTGTTTGGGATGTGCGACGTGAGCGAGCCGCCCATCCCCGCGACTCCAACCACCTGCACGCCGTCGATGAGGCTCGTATGTGGGGGGAGCAGGCGGGCTGGAAGGGTCTCTGAAGCGGCCGCACCGCCGAGGCCCCTGGGATGTAGCCAGCGACGGTCGAGGTGGCGCCGCCAGCGATGAAGCTCGCGCCTCCGATGGCGCTGCCCACGCTAACGCTGCCCACCTCGAGCCCGCTTGCCGCTCGCTCCGCGCAGCAGATGTCCCAGCAGCCGAGCTGCACAACGTGGTCGTTGAATGTATGGGCAAAACAGGAGGCGTAGCACGACTCACACTGGGTGTACAGCGCAGCCGCGGCGCCAGGCCTGCCTGGAATCTCGTAGGTGTAGTCGTCGTCCGGCATTCGGCCTGGCACGAGCCTTCGTGCTGGCGGTCGGTGACTGTCGGGCGAGGACCGTCCCTCCTTGTGCGAAAAATACCGGTCTCAATGTCCCACCCCCCTGCGCGCGGGCCTTCTAGGCCCGCGGGTAGTCTCCCCCCATCCCCAGGGCCTCCAGGGCTCGCACCTCAACCTCTCACAGACCAGCGCATAGCGCCATACGACGTATTTTCTTCTCATGCTCCTGAGTCGCCTTATCTCTCACACCTCGTCCCTGATTCCGAGCCTGTATGCCCTGCTAACTTCTCAAATTCTTCTACCCTTATAAGTCTCTTGTGTCGGCGCCGACGCTCTTGGTTTAACCGTAGAACGTCCCAGCCGAAATCCGCCCGCCACGATCGATCCCTCCACAATCGTCGGCCCGCAGCGACCCGCAGCGATGGATGCCGCCGCCCCCCCGGCCCCTGCGGCTGACGCGCCGATGCACGACCGGCCTCCGTCGGATGGCTCTCCGGCCTCTCCGGCCGCTGACGCGGCCGCCCATGCTGTTGCCGATCCGGTCCCTCTCACGCTCAGCGATATCCGCACAAGCTACGACAACTTCGAGGTCGCCGGCTTTGGCCAGGTGCAGCCACCACCTGCTTGCCTCCATGTTCACGCTTCGCGGCCCTTCCCCCCTTCTGACGCCGCCGTATGACCGTAGGTGAGGGGCACGACTGCCCGCCTGGAAGGCGCTCTCATCAGCAAGTCACCCAGGCACCAACTCCTGGGCGTTTACGCTTGACTACGAAACCATGCAGTGGATGCAGCTCGATCAAAACGGCGACGCCAACAGCTGGTCCCTGGGCGAGTTCCTCGCCCAGGATGAGGTGCGAGTCATGATGCTCGACCCAGCGTGCACCAAGTCGCCTAATCGATCTGCCTTAGGCACGGAGCCAACGGAGCCATCGCGCATGCCCGCATCGCGTGCGGCTCCGAGGTCTCCCGCCGAGACCGGCTCGGCGCGGCGCGTGGCCGCACGCCGCCGTTGAAAAGGCGAGATAGGACCGAGGGGAGAGCGCCGGCCACATCGAGCGAGCGCTGACGTGTAAGGTGTCTGTGCTGCTCCGGTGTGTGTGGGATTCTGCCCCCCCCCCATCTGTGCGGCGAGTTGTTTGCGGCGCGATGCCCGATCGTGCGCGATAGCCTCCCTTGCATTGTGCGTGGTGTGTCGGTTGTCGGGGTCGTCCGGAGCGTGTGGCGGCGCCGTTGCATGCAGCGACTGCTCCACGTGCCACGACTGCTTTGACTGACGTGACTGACTGATGAGACATGAGTGCTGATGGATGATCTCCGACAACCCAAAACCAAAATGCAAATGCGGAGTGGCCCACTTTGGCGTGCAGATCCTGCGTCTCTCACTGCCCGAACAACAGAGAGGGTACCGCCGCGGGTCCGCACTAGTATTCTCAAACGTCCTCGTCGACCAGTCGCAAGGCTTCCGCTTCCCACGTCGCGCAGCCGCAGGGCAAAGTGCCAAGTAAGCGAGCGGCTCATGCGGATGAGACTGTTGGTTGCGTGTCTGGCTTCAACCTTCCTGGCGGCCGTGCCGGTGATGTCCTCCACCCCTAACATTGTTGTGCTCATGACGGACCAGCAAGGAGCGTTCACGATGTTGAACGATCAGGTGCACGCTCCGAATATGAAACGCCTGCAACAGTCCGGGGTCGGCTTCACCAACGCATATTCTGTGGGCCTGGTCTGCGTTCCATCTCGGACTTCTATTCTCACTGGCAGACACCCAGCAACGTTCGCAGCCGTCGAAGACTCTCAGGAGCCGGTGATTGCTGACAATTATTCAAAATGCAAGGAGAGACCGGAGACTTTCGACAGCGTTCTCAAGGCTAGAGGGTATCGTGTCTTTTACTATGGCAAGTGGCACGCCCCGCTGCGTTGGGCGGTCAACCCGTCGGGTCAGCCGACATATGAAAACGGAGTTTGCATGAACGGTGGCACGCCATTAATTAGCGATGAGCCCCAGCATCGATTCCGTGATGCAACGAACTGCCTTAAAGTCGCCAGTCCATGCCGATACCTGCCCTTCAGTAACCTCAAAAACACGCCTACTTTTTGCAAGAGGCTATCGACGCGAAGCCTGATGTTATCCGAAACGCAAAGTGCGCATCTCCAAGCCCGCGAAGCGCAAGCCCGCAGAGACGCCCACGTGCAACCATCGACTGCAGGGAGCCCGATCGAGTTGGAGGCTCAATACCGCAACCGAACATTTGAAATGCCCGGCCCACACCTTTCAAACAGAGATTGTCGGTGCATCAACTTGGACCATCCACAAATGGCCAGCGCTCGACGGGTCGAAGGGAAAGGAGTGGGTGCCATCAAGCCAGCATCGCTGTTCAACACAAGTGAAGAATACGTGTACACGCAGGCTGCCGTCGGAGCACTGCGATCGTTGGCAAGCGAACCAGACCACGCCCCGTTTGCCTTGACGCTGTCACTTCACAGTCCACATGGACCGCCGGAGACGTTCGAACAATTCATTTCGGCCTACCCCCTCTTGCTCGATTGGATGTCGGGATCCGAAAAAGTGGCTGGAGTCACCATGGAAGAGATTGGCACCGCATTATACCACGCCCAAGTTTCGCAATCGGATTTTCTGTTCGGCCTCCTCCTGGAGGCCCTGGGAGAGCTGAAATTACGGCAGAGTACATTGGTCCTATTCTTCAGCGACCATGGCGCTCGACGGAACAACAACTCGTTCAATACCAGAAGTGCATAGCCACGGGACGTCTTTGTGGCCCTTGATAGCATTGGTCAATGACCAACGCACCGCAAAGGACAAGCTACACAACCAAACCAGCGTGTTCGTCTATGGCAGGCACTCACTTAGCCCATTCAAGCCGATTTGGCCGGTGATCATCAACCCGATGTTTATGGCGCGCCGGGCGCAACACAAGCTAGTTTGCGACTACCCACACGTTCCCGGTGCAAATGAAGTGATCGTCGATGGCCAGCACATCCCAGTGCAGCAAAAGTGGTTCTGCACGGGGTGGGGAGACCGACAGCACCGACCGTTGCACGCTACCCCCAATGGCCACTGCATTGATGCAATGGGCTTCAGAGGCACCCCGTGCTTTCTCTTCCTCTGCAAGACATCCGACGAACCATGTGTGCTGGTTGACAATCGGGTCAATGATACTGAACGGCACATGCACGATCGTGTTGCAACGCGTCTTGACCGAGACGCTCAGATGGCTTGGGAGCATTACACTGCGTGCAATCAATCGCCATTCCCCGATGAGGGCTTCCGATGATGCCAGAAGTAGCAACTGTCTGAGTACATTGTTGCTGTTTGAATGAGTCACTCATATCTGATACGACTGTGATCTGTGATCGATTTTGTGTGAGCTCTGTGTCTTGAGCAAGAACGTACGAAGGTCGTACCTAAGTCCTAACACTCATACGACAAAGTACAAACAGGCAGACGGATCACTGTGCGTGCCTCCATCGCGGCGCGCGCCGGTGCGGCGGGGGCTTCCACCTCTACTTGCGGCGCGCTCCTCAGTGTGTGTGCATAGACACGTGTGTGTGTATGCTGTGCTGTGCGCGGGCGCTCTCCGCTGCCTCTCCCTCTCACGTCTCAGTGGTCGCCGCCGGCGCCGCCGCCGGGAGGGCTACGACAATGTGAACGTGCGATCTGGTCCTCACACGGCACACGGGGATGACCCGTCTCCTCCAGATCGAGATGGACTCCGAGATCGGCCAAGCAAGTAATTATCACAGTGCAGGCGGCGGCCTCCTTCATTCAGGCAGCTCGAGTCCACTCTTGCGTGTGGGCCGCCGCCGTCGCCGCCGCAGCCGCCCAGCCCGCCGTCGCCGCCGCCGCCGCCTCGCTCGCCGCCGCCATCGCCTCCGCCGCCCTCACCACCGCCACCCTCGCCGCCGCCACCTTCACCGCCACCGCCCTTGCCTCGACCCGCGCCGCCGTTGTCCCGGTCCTGGTGGACCCGCTGTGATCCTCGCGGGGGCTCGGGTCTTGCGGACAGCTCACGCTGCTCCTCCCTGGGTCTCTTGGTCTCTTCCCACAGGAGCAGCTGTGAAGCTGCGCGCATCGACGACCGGTGGCTTTCGCCGACCAGAGGATGCTCGCCGACCAGACGACAACGCTCTCGCCGACCGGCTCCGAGACTCTGGACGTGGGCGGCAGGCAGGTCGTCGTCACCGACGGGCACGCGGTGCTGCCCGAAGGCATGACGCACCTGCCGGATCGGGCGTTCCGCAACCGCACCTCTCTCGTCTCGGTCGCCTTCTCGCGCAGCCTTGCCTCCATCGGCGACTGCGCCTTCGAGGGCTGCTCCGCCCTCACCTCCATCACCCTCCCCGCCGGCCTCACCTCCATCGGCAAAGGCGCCTTCCACAGCTGCTCCTCCCTCGCCCGCATCACCGTGCCAACCACCGCCACCGTCGACGACGAGGCTTTCGAACCTGAGACCACCGTCCTCCGCCTCCCGCCCGCAAACATGCGCCACATTGAGCGCTGGTACGAGGCGGCGGACTTTGTTCTCGCCTACAAGCGCTGCCGCCCCCTCCTCTACGGCTGGCTAGAGCGGGCCCAGAACAAGCTCGGCTCTTACGGCCCGGACGGCGCGGCGCGCCAGCGCGACCGCGAGGCGTTCGAGGGCGACTTCGGGCCTGCGGCGAGCTCGTCAGGCGCATGAAATTTGGGCAGCTCGCGCCGGACGCGGCGCCAGACTTGCCGCTAGACTTGCCCGACCGCCTAATAGTAATCTTAGCCTAAGTGGGTGCGTCGGAGTGCGTGTGTGCGTCGGTGTGTGCGTCGGCGTGGGCAAGCAAGCATGTGGCAGGGCGAATTCGTTTTCTACGTGGTGACTTGTGTACCTGTGTTAGTGCCAGTGCGCGCGCCAGTCCCGCGTGCTGACGGCAAGGGCGGTGGCGGTGAGTGGGGCGGCGGCGTGGGTAACGCCCGGCGACGGCTGTAAGGGCTGAGGGGGCGGCGGCGAGGGCGGCGAGGGCG